AGGATTGAAAATTATGTGTTTTGTTTTTATAATTAAAATATAATTTCTTTTAACACGCAATACGAGTATAATACGTCCGTAAAAGTTATAGTTGCGCAATGTTTGCTCAGGGAAGAAACCATGAAAAGTCTGGAGGTTGTTATATTTCTTTTATCCATTAATAAGTATTACTGGTTTTAGCTCCGTGAGGGGCTCTTAGAGTGGTATAAACGTCCGAAATAGGCTGCAGTTATATGCGAACGTGCTGCGGGTGGGTTCAAAGCCAAGCGTGCACCTCACTCACCCTTTCCGCCATTGCACGTTGGGGCTTGAGGCGCCCATAATTCAATTTCGGATCCAAACGAACAAATTTAATTTAGGATGTTTTGGGAACAATTCGGCAGTAAACTAATATGGAAGCCCTGAAGGCCGAATAAGCTAACCTTTAAAAACCGAACAATTCCCAGACATATCTGATTAATGTTTTCTCTCGCTCTTTCCTCATCCTGACACTATTTTCTTGAGAATCGTAAATACTCGTACATACACTTCGTATTAACTGAATTATACTGTGTCCTTATTTACCTCTATGTTTATGATTCGAAACGTGTATTATGACATACAAATAGAACGCCTTTACTTATGGTAAAAACGTGACCAGAAATTAGTTGTATCACTGTTCAAGGTATTATTAAATGATAAGATAAGTATCAATAAATTAAGTCACATTATTCTAGATATAAAATAATTGGTAAACGTTTTCTCATAAGATAATTGATGACAAAAACACATCATATTAAATTATTTTCGACATTTGGGGTTTGTTTTGAAAGAAAAAAGGTCCACGATTTTGAAAAAGATTAAAAAAAGGAGAAGAAAACAAAATAAATAAAAAACGGTTATAGACCTCTTGGGATTTAAGAGGCTCGTCCAAAGGAGAATATATACTTTGGAAACTTTAAGGCTGTTTATTAAAGGTAAATGAACAGCCGTTTATTTTATGGTTTCTGGGTGACATTAGCATAATGATTCCCGCGATAGTGCAAAAAAAAAAAAAACAGGCAACGTAGAAAGTAACAAAAAAGTGTTTAAATCCCAGGAATATGCTAAGAAATTCTGTAGGAAAAAACAGTACTTAGAATATGCGCTAGGGAGTACTTCAGAACAATGAGGATAATTCTTGGATTAAAAAAATGTATAATTTATTTTGACAAATATAAAGTTTTCTCATTAAATGCTAAAAGATAGATGTCATATGTAAATATTTAAAAATTAAAATCACTAATATGTTATTATGATATTTTGTTCATTATATTCCTAGTAAGCCAGTGGTTAATAAATAGCTGTACCTGCAGAAACACCTAAATACAACAATATATACATTTATAACATGTATTTTAACTTAAAGTTTATTCCAAATTTCTAATCATTTTTATAATGTTATGATTTATGATATTTTTTTTCAATAAAATATACCTAATACTTTTAGGTATACTATTATTTTAGCAAAGCATTTAATTGAAGATTTCATTTTCATATTTTTTTAAATATTGTCAAATTTTGTTTTTCAATTTTTTTCTACTTTTACTACAAAATAGCTTATATTTTATTTATGAACTGCGTTATTGTATTATTTTTATAGTCTCTTAGTATTGTGTTTTGTGTATTGTGTACATTTAAATACATTCAATTTAAGACTTATTTAGAAGTTTTATTTAAATAATATAACTTTCAAAAATATGATATAAAATATTCGTGTTTCTATGTGTATTTTCACAATAATATGTACTCGATGTATTAAGTATGATATTATCATAATGTATCGTTATGATGTTATAAATTTATCATAAAAGCGTTTGGCATTGATCTTTAAGAAAATCATAAAGGTCTAAAATAATTCTAAATGGATAATGTCTGTAATATTCTATATGATACATTTTATTCGAAAACATCTAATGTTGACCCCCTTTCCCCTAATCTATTACATTGATGTAGTTAATTGATGTAATTTTATAAATACTTACATGGTTAGCAGAATTTTGATCCAATTCATAAAGCTCAGATAATATTAGTCAAATATATTTTGTCCTATAAAGGTATTACCTAGGTAAGGCCAGAAGATGGTATAGTCCAATATACTTTTCATCCAATCTATGAAGTCAAAAGTACTTAATTAAAACATTTATTATTTATTCAAATTTTAATTACAATGATTTTAGTAGTAGGATTTTATTGGTAGGTTTTATTCATTTTAAATTATTATTCTTAATTATTAATAATTATTTCTTTAAAAATAACATTTTTAACTTAGAAACTACCTGATGGAATATTAAGCCAAAATTTAACACTAGAGTTATTAAATCTAAAAAGAACAAATCAATACTTTTAAGCAATAAATTTTGTTATAAACAACATTTGTTTAACAAAAGTCATACTATACAGGTAGTATTAGAGATGTGAAAATCGATCAATCTATAATACAACGTGTTTAAGAAACAGTGATTTGGAAAATTTGGTTATTTTTAAATGTAACGCATTTTACACCCACCAGATGAAGCAGTCGTTGAAACGAAATAAATTGCTCAACGAATCAAAACAGTAATTAAAAAAGCATTTAACTCTATACTAAGTAAAATATTACAACAAGGTATGGGAAATGTTCATAACGAAAAAGTTCTTGTAAGTTAGTAAATAAAAATGTAGTCAAACAAGTGGATAAACTTACAACAAAATAAAACAAGATCTATTATGCCACATAATTTATTTGATGTTGAAATTCACGATCTTTACAACGTTATGACATGTGATGAACCTTTTTTATAAATGATAGTGAGAATAATGACCCTGACAGATTGATAATATTTTCTACAGTACAAAACGTTCGATTGATTATTCGTTACAAATGATACTATTTTTTCCAATGGAACTTTTTAAGCTGTAGATATTAAGACATTTCATGTTGTTATATTACGTAATATTCACGGAATTTGAATAAAAAATGTATTTCCTTTAATTTTGCATTGGCTGTTCATAAAAACGAACGAATCTATAGTATAATTTTTCAAGAACTTAAAAATTCTATCGAATGTCATTACTTAAAATTAAACTCTCAATTTGTAGTATGTGATTTTAAGTTAGCAATTATAAATATGTTAAGAACTATATTTAATGAGTTCCATTGTCTCTTTTATTTTGTAAAATCTTTATGGCGTCAGCTAGTGAACAGTGATTAAGAGAAGAATATTTGAACTATAGACAATTAGCCAATTATAAGAAATAATTTATTAGAGTTAATGTATTTACCATTCATAATATTAGAGGACTCGCAAGAAATTTTCGATGACGTAATTAATTGATAATTTGAATGAAAGCATTGAATAAATTTATAATCGTGGACGATCAGCGCGTGATAGGAAAAAAGCTGTTCCTCATTAATTCCCGCCAGGAATGAGAAATATATATGAGCTTGTATTAAACTGAAGACAGAACCAATAATGTTGTAAAATATTTCCATTCGAAACTGGAAAAATCTATTAACTCATCATTTTAATACTTGAAAGTTTCAAAAAATATAAAACTTATTTAAAAAGATAAGAAAAATACTATTATCCAGATAAAGGGTAGTCATACACGTGTCAAATCACCAATCCTCCAAAATGTACTGCTAATCAAGAATGAGTTCAAAATTTAGTAAACTCATTACAAAAAATAGAACAAAATCATTGTGTATATTTAAGTATTCGCTTATTACTTAAAACTAAATAGTAATCTAAACGCTTATGTAATAAACTAAATTTACAATAAATGTGTCCTTTTAATTCATTTGGTTTTCTTAAGACATAGGCTTAAAAAAATAAAATGTAAATACAAGTAAATTGGACATTAAAAATAACGAACTTATTTACGTTGGACAAAAATATTTATTGGAAACAACTGATAATAAAATGGATTAACACAAATAGTATCTTATGTATAAGATTAATATTATTGTTATTAAATGTACGCATAGTACATTAATGGTCATAATAATTGTAAGGTTAAATTCAAAACTATTGATGAAAGAAGAGGATGTGAAGTTTTAATAAGATTTTCGTATCTCATAGTATAATGTAGGACATAGGACTATTAAGTGTTGGATTTTCCTCCTTTATTTTCGTTTAAGTTCTCATGGTAGCAGCTTTGTAGCATGTCATCTGTGCGCGTGTTTAATATCGCAACTGTTATCTCGTAAATTCCATCACCATCGTCGCTGTCTCCCCAACAAGTTTGCAAACACACTTAATTAAAATTATCTACACACAAATACTGCATTCCGCTGATTAACATCATTATTACCATAAACAACCGCATTATATTGCTATATAATATATAAGCGTAGACATATGATAGTATAAATACTAAATACGAGAATAGTATTTTACGTTTATAAATCATGAAATTGCAGCCAATATGTATTTTAATTATTTTTTTGCGCGTTTAAGAGGAAACCGGTGAAATTTTTCTTGATTTCCGGACAAGGCCACGGGTTTTATCATTATTATTGTTATTATTATTTGCTCGCTAATTATTACCGTACACACGGTATTGTGGTAAGCCGGAGGGGAGGGGTTTTCATCAGGATAATTCATTGTCGTTTGATTAAACACCGTGGCCGCCACAAAGGATATCCACCGGGTTTTTATCGGGTCTCCCTTCTTTTACGTCCCGGCGTGCGTTGGCTAGTCCTGAGTCTCAATTTTAACGACCCTAGAGCTAAAGGTGTGGAAAGGCTGGTTAACGGCAGTGTCCGGGTATGATTAAATAAACCGGTAATTGGTCGGAAAAACGTGAGGGACGCGCGTCGTATTTGGCCCCACCCCTCGCCACCACCCTTGGACGGGACCCAGCTGGGGTGGAAGTAACTTTATATACGTTTTTCCCATTTTTCGCGCGAGACCGGAAAATACGGTTTTTTTTTCGTACCATCACCGTGTGCGGCGCCGCGTCGGCAAAGAGGCGCGTGCCGAACATCATCGCCCAGTACCGAAATCTCCGCGTCGGCTGCTAGTGTGCTAACGGACACCCTGCGGGAAACATCGTTGCCGCCGCCAATCTCATGCGCGTGTGACATTACTGACGAGTGTATTTACGCGATAGACGACGAAATATCATTCCGTAATTTCAATCTATTCCGCGGTGCTGCAGTGATGACATATTATATTTGTGTTTTTTTCTTCGAATATTTCTGCCTGATTGACTGCCGTTAAAATACAAATTTATTTTCACGGGTAACTGTATGTTATAATACAATACCTTGCAACTATCTGTTATTTACCAGGTGCTTTTAATTATAATTTTATTAAAGAAAAATATGTGCGTGTGAGAGTTTTAGAATATTTTAATAGAGTGAAACTTATTTTTTATAACGTCTTTTAAATTAAATTCTCTATTTTTGGAACTGCTAAAATATAATTGTTTACAAGATAATGTAAATATAATTTTTTTTCATATACTTATTATTGTATACATATACGCATTAATGCGTTATACATATTTTGTGCATTTGCATTACTGTATAATATATTTCACACGGATCAAAATTTAAATGTCAAATAATGAACAACAATAATTTTTATTCTACTTTCAATTATTTTTATGATGTACTTAATCTATATATTTGTATATATTTTTCCAATGGAAGTAAATATGTTTTCATATTTATTAAGTTATTATCGTAACTATTGATTTGAAACTAAATTTTCGTAAAGTATAAACTGTGTTATAATCTATAATTTATGAAGCGTTAATAAATATATAAAAAAATCATCCACCGTCAAGGAATTAAGTTTGTGACTTAACGTGTTTAAAGTTAAAATTACATGTTTTTAGTAGATTTTTCACATATTTCTAGAAAATTATTGAAATATCTGACCAATTAAGACTATTGAACTTTTTAATTTATCTACGATGGCTTAAGGATTTTATAAATATATATTTATTAGTACTTAGTAAAAAAGGATAATAGATAATAAGATATTATGTTCATCCAGTCATCTAGAATTTTGAGTTATCATTGACTTAATAGTATATAACATATTTTAATTGACATTGAATTAATTAAATATTTTACTAGGTATTAAATAGTAGCTACCATTAATCATGTATAAATTTATAATTTATAATTATTTACCATTTTAGTAATGCCAATTTAGACGTAATTTATTAATTAATTGTTCTTTTAGACATCTCGAAAGAAAATTATGTACATATCTATAATTATAACTAAATAAACAATTATCATGAATATAAATTAGAAAAAAATTAAATATTTCTTGATAATTTTAAAGCTTTTTTAAAATATATTAATTTTTGAATCGTCTAAATAACGGTTTTGAAGGGCAAATCCTACTAAATTACTTTGATGAAATTAAATTTAAACTATTTAAAGATATATTCTTAAATTATTACCGATAAAATATGATAATATTATTTTTATACTTATTTAATCTTTAAATTTGTCTAAAATCATGATTTTGTATACCTAATAATTGTTATACGTTAGACTCAATTTTTTTTAGTATAGAATTACGTTTTTGTTTGTCCTATGTCTTAAATTATAATATATTTATTAGGTATTATATTTATATTTTTCAGCAGCATCAGTTTTTTTCAATGCAATCGTTGATAATTTACTGGAAATGGAAACGCTGCAGGTCAATACTACAGTCTGGAATCTGATGGTTTGTTTTTGTCTTCTTATCACAAGTAAGTGTATCAAATTTTAAATTTTTAATAGTATAAATTTCATTATGCTTGTTATGTTTTTTTCCCAAAAATAAAATATTACGTTGTGTATTTAGTTGTCAGTTAGAATATTCATTAAATACTCGTATAATCCTACTTAAAATATATGAAAAATATGATTGACAGATAATGTGTTGTGTTACTTAAAAGTTTGTTTTAACTTTGCTTATAAATGGGAATTTAACAGCTAAAAATTTACGCTACATCACAATTACTCATTAAAATAGTGCAAAAATGATAAATAAATAAAATTCCAGAATGATTTTTTAGTTCAAAGAGCTGGTTTTAGTGTGTACCACGTGTACCCGACGAGTAGAATGTTCTAGGAATTTCATTGTTAATAACCTAATTAATTATAGTTATTTATGTATTATATAATTTAAAAGATAAATAAGTAAATTATATTATAATAGTTTTTACTTCCTTAACTATTTATGATTTTTTTAAAGTAAATTTCCTATATTTCCCTATATTACTCGTATATATGCGTTTAGATTGTTATTCACTGTAGATTGTGGTTTATACAGCGTTTTTCGACACAATACCATGTTAACCAAACTTTAAAGTATTCAAACTTTAGCTACGTGGTTGATAATTTTTATGATATCAATAATATTTTGAAAATATCTGACCACCATGTAACTGATTGTAATGAAACACTATGGTTACATAATTAATAAACAAGAAGGCCCATTTGAGTATCTTCACTCATTATTTTAAAAAGTTTTGACTTTCGATAAATTAATTAGACTAAAAATTTTTTGATTGACTTAGTAATACTTTTAAATGTACTAAAATTTAAAATTATACGTACTAAAAATTAAAGTAGTCTAACAAAAATATAATTTTATCATACAAAACTTTTAATGTATAACTTTCTAATTAATAATAACAAAAAAACAAGAATATATTATTAATAATTAATATTATTAATTATTTATAATGTAAAATTTTTAATAGAATGACAGATGTAGATGTTCAATTAGGTGCATATTACGTAAATATTACGTACATATAATTTTCATTTTTAAAGATTCAAGATAGTTTAAGCTTGTTGAATATTTTTTTTTTTTATTTAATATTTACACGACCAGATTAATGTTAATATTAATATAATATTTATGAAATAAAGTATTTATTTAGTCCATTTTGTATATTTCATACATAATAATGATATTTTTTTAAAATTAACATAAATTATTAGATTTATAGAACGTGAAAAAGAAAAGGAAAACACAATGGTAATAAAAATAAAAGGCCACTTAATTTTCTTTTTTTTAAACAACTTTTTTAAAACTAAAATACATTGGAAAGAACCATCAGTATAAAATGGTCTCTATATTATATAGGTACTTAAGCTTTATATAATATTTAGTTATGTGTTTTTGTAATCGCTCTTTGTTTGTGTCCCACTTGTTGTATTTAAAAAATATTCAAAATGAATTAAATTTTGTACAATTATGATGATAATAGTATATAATATATTATTGTAATATGTAATTTTTATTCTATAATACATTGAAAATTAATAAAAATACTATTACCTATAATTAATTGTGATACAATACTTTTAGATACTTTTAAAGAGTTTGATGAGTACATTTATTTGACGGCTGTTAGTTGGCTTATACTATCTTTTATGTGTATATTATATTATTCTAGTTTTTTACTTGTATTATAATTTAAGAAACCATATCATATTGTTTCATATTTGAACGTGAAATTATGTTATTTTGAAACAGTTGTATTTTAGTATAAAATAATTGTATTTAATGTTATTAAAGAAAAGTTTATTTTAGTTGAATTTACTGAAAATTGTTAGCTATTATGTATATTAACATAATATTATAGTTACATGTTTATGTGTTTATGTAAGTTAAAAAAGATGTAACTTGGCTAGAGCATTATAATATGAAGTATACACACTATTTTAATTTATTTAAGCGGATGAAAATATTTTGTATGAAATATTGAATTTTTTTTTTAAATAAAAAATAAGAAAATATATACCTACCTACGAATAAGTTAAAAAAGTATATACATTTTTTTATTTTAATTAAAAATGTACTGTAAATATTAAGGAATAGATATAAAATAAATCTAAATAAAAATTTACATTATATATGTATGAAAATAAATTTGAAACTATTAAACTATTATATTCAAAAAGATTTTTGGTTTTAATAATTATAAAATGTTTATTTTTATGTTTCATTTGGTATATATATATAACAAAATATTTATTAAACTTTGAAATGATATATTATAACGAGTAAGATTAATATCAGAATATGTGTTATTTTAATTAGTTGGAACTTAGAAATTTACACCTCTCTTCAAAAATTATCAAATGACCATTGGTTTTTTCTTGTAAACTTTTAGACTACACAGTGTTATACAGAAGTTGTCTATAGCATTTGCCATTTTTCTAATATTATATCAAAATATTTAAGTGGTTGTGGTACCACGTTGGTTTCATATAAAGGGTTAAAGTTATATCAACATTGTATACTGACAGGTGAAAACCACTAGTTGCGTCTTTTAAGTTAAATGATATTATAACACGCAAAGAAAATTTAAGAAGTGCAAAACAAGTACTTGTTTTATTAATAAGAGCAAAATGTTAATATCATTGTTGCTATTTTAGATTGAATTTAAAATCAATAAATATTTTGTTAAATATGAAATTTTGGAATAATGTATATTATAAAGTTAATTGGATATAATAATAATAAGTTCATATTAGAAAAAAAATAATTTTTAAACTTATTTTTAAGAAATACATTTTTGTGATGATATATTTTGAAAATAAATACTTTGGGGACCTTATTACAAATATACCTACGTTTTTAAATGTATTAACAAAATTACTAAAGATTTATTTATATAAAAGTTATTAGTCATTACCCTAAAATTGTATTAATTCTAAAATTTTTGACAAAAACTTAGTTTTTCGCACTTAATTTAACTAATTGTTATCAATTTCCTAGCATGATTTAAAATACTTCATTTTTGCAATGGATTTTTTTAAAGTGATTGTTATTGTTTATTTTTGTAAATCCATCACATTTTACAATTAAAAAAAAGAGTTTTAAATGCAATTTTAGAACAGTTATTTTTATTATTTTTTTTTTTTTTTGGTTAAGTTCGTTTGAAGAAATATATTTTTGAAGGGTAATTTGTGCATAAAACACTGTAAACATAGTATCGTTTTAAATGCAGTAAGTTGGCAAACAAACGAGGGAAAAGAAAAATCGTTTTGAAATCCTATGTTTGCATGACCTCACTTGGATTCTCGTGATGGTAACCAATCATATTATACCTTGTCACTATTAATTCACTTATGTTCAGATATGGTATGCCTACTTTTGATGGAAAAGGGAGATATAATAAAATGAATAAGGTTAAAAAAACTATACACGTCTATTATAATAAAACATATACACACACATTCATAATATTGTATGACCTTTCTGCGATATCGCCAAAATACCTAGTCTATTTGTTTAAATTGTTACCGTGACATAACACATATATACATTTTTTTTTGGCAGGATTTTCATATTTGAATAATACATAAACAAATAAAAACGCCAGAAGACAGTTTTAAAGAAGGGAAAATAAATGTACAATAAATAAGGCAATAAAATGAATGATTTAAAAATTTCACAGTTACATATTTTTTCTTTTTTAATATTTCTTTGTAATTTGTACTTATTTAATCCTAGAAAACACAATGTAATTGAATGTATCTTATATCTATTATATAAATAATAACAAATGAATTGTTTAAAAAGACTTGTTTTTTAATAAAAAAAAAAAAAAATTAGTAGATATTTAACGAAAAAAAAAATAACATTTTCATTGTCGATTGAAAATTTCAAATATTAATATAATATCGTGTTTTAATGTTAATTATTGACGTATAATATTATTTTCAATTGTTTAAAGAAAAGTTTTCTTTAAACCATAGAGGTATTTGTATAACTGATATAAAAAATGAACTCTAAATAATGATATTTATTTGTTTAAATATTAAAAACTTTGAAATATAATATTAATACACGTATTATCATTATATCGTTTTTGTACAATTTTTTGTTATATTATGAATTGTTTTTAAGCCGTAGTAACGCAAATTTAATAAATAACATTTTTAATAAATATTATGAAAATGAATACCAAGAATAATAAGTTAAATTTTATCCGCTTAGGTAGGATTTTAGAGTTATCATTATACCCATCTTTGGTTCACGTGCTTAGTGAAGTGCACAAAGCAGAAGCTATAAGTTATAATCATAAATTTCGCAAAATTTTCATGAACAGACTAGCTGAAGATCTATGGTATAATAATCCGTTATATCCAGAACGCAAAAGAACATTGGTTAGTAGCAATCCATTTACTATGGTTAGTAATGATTTGTTACGAACAACATCTAAATTTTCTTGGGGTTTATCACGAGATCAAGCGGCTACTATTATACAGGTAATCTAATATCTATATTCAGTATTCAGATTATAAGTTTCAATCTAAAATCTTCCTTATGATTTAAGAAAATAATAATTGTAAAATTAAAATTAAACATTAACAAATATAAAATTAGTATTATTATATAAATACATATGTGTATTAACATAATCTTAAAACATTTAAGTTTGTATAAAATTAATACAAAAATGTTTAAAATTAGTTGTATTTATGTATACGTAGGAACGTATAAAATTATTGATTCATTTTTTTCTCTAGAAATAGAAAATAATTAAACAACTATTACGCCAGTATTTAATTAATTTTGACTTAACATATTTTCAGAAAATACCTAATAATATATAAATCTTAAACGTAATAAACGTTTAGTACGATTGTATGAGTATATTATATGTAATATAAAATGCAAAATACAAAAAGTTTTGTATAATAACCAATAAAAGTCAGAAGGTATAATAAATTATAGTAACTAAACAAAACTGTGTAGTATTATATCAGAGAAAATTTGGTTTGTTTTGAACTAAATAATTTTGTTTTAAAATATTTATACTTGTACGTTTGCCAGACGAGAATCATTACAAAAGAAAAATAATAAACACATTCATAAACAGTACTCTAATAGCGCTTAATAGTTAAAACCTAATTGTATTTTATTTTTGTCTGGCGTTCAATGATCAATAGCCGAATTCATTTTTCACTTTTCCTTTAAAGTCAAATTTACCAAAAGAATGATTAACTGTTTTTTCAGTCAGCGTATCGTGCACACATAGTCCGGATACAGTCTGACGTGGCGGAAATGAGAGCTTTTTGGCGAATTCTGACGACCAAAGGTCGCAAGTAGACGTGTTGAGCTGTTGAAGTAGTTGCTTTTGTCAACTACTCCAATCAAAAAGAATGAATTCAACTCTGAAATTTTTTTTTTTTAGCTATTATAATGTTTAATACTCATAACGTAACAATGTTCTCGATTTTTTAAATCATTACCGTCGACATGCAAATAAAATATCTCCCCTTGCTATACTATGAAAAATATTATCATTTTTTTGTCTACAGTTCTAACTGATTTCTCCTATCAACTAACTATATAGTTTTCTTTTCCCCTTTAGATATTAAGTTGACCTTTTACTTTCATTCACTAAACTACCAATAGGTCTTACAACAATAATGGTCGCTTGGGACCCTTAAGGTGTATTATTGCACAAGGACATTGTGAATGATTCGTTATATTATGTTCATTGTCCATATAGAGTGTAATATAGCATATTAAAAAATATAACATAAAAACATTAAATCATAATACGCATAATAAAAATAGTAAAACTATAAAAATTATATATATATATATATTTATTATAATTTAGTAATTTTATAGTGAAGTATTCATTATTTATTACTTTACATTAAGCATTTAACAATAGCTAAATGGCTAAGAAGCCCTTAATTTTACCACTCTACTGGCTACTTAAATTTGTATACAATTTCATTATTGTATAAATCATAATTTTTAATTCCACTCTGTAGGCGAACGCCTGAAAACTTTTTAATTATTGTAATACTTAATTTAAAATTTACAATTAACGTGTTTATTATTTTTTTATTTTTTATAATAAACATACAATCTATACTAATTAAAACACAATAAATATATGGGAAAAAAGAATAATACATTGTGATTTACATGATTAAGAAGTCACTCACTAGTGGCTCTTTGCTAACATGTTCATATAATATTTAATTCTAACACTTGCGTTTTTATCGTACTTAGATTAATTTACTTCAAATTCAAAACTTTTAATTGACGCCATAAAATGTATGAATTAAATTTTTTTTTAGATTAATTTATTGTTTAGTTTATTAACTTTTAGTATACTTTTAATTTATTGTGAGGAAATCACCAAAAAAATAATTGGATAGTTACTCAGTTAAAACATAAGTAAAGTAGGGTTCGGAAGTTGATTTATTTTGCATTTTTTTTTTTGGAACTTATTAGATGATGCTCTTCTAGCCACAGATATGTTTCATAAACATGCGAATCTAAGTAACTAATTGTTATTTTACATTTTTTGTCATTTTTAGGTCTTATTTTCCTTTTTAGTTCAATTTCTTGTATTTATAATTAGATTTTGTCAATTAAATCTTTACACGCATAGTTTTTGTTTTACACAGACTGTATATAAGTACTTACATTAAATTTATATTTTATAAAATAATATTTTACACAAGTTGTATACGGGTTAGGTAAAGATAAAGATTCGATAGAATAAGATAATTTCTAGCTATCATTTTTACTTTTGACAATATAAAATATGCTTTAATAGTACAATGTAATAATTTTGAGTAATTATTATTCTTTTTTTTTTAAAATAAATTTTTACTAATTTTAAGCAAATATTTATAATTTTTTGTCATTTTTAAGTCATTTTTTAATGTTTTTAATGATCATCAACTTCCGATCCCTAGTAATAAGTAAATATAATTGTAAGTATGAGTTAGTATTATAAGTAGGTAATCAAATTATACTTATTATAGCTGCATGTTTTAACTATAAAAATCTTTTATTTACTATGGAGTATGAAACATTAAAAAAAAATAATATTCTTTATAAATAAACATACAAGAGCACAATGATACATTTTTAATATTATTTTACAAAATTAATAAGAGTTTATTTTAAATACTTTTTTCACAAATCAATCAATGTTATGATATAATACAGTTTTAGAAATTTAATAACAAGTGTATATTTTAATAATTATAATTATAGTTCACATATGAACTTAATCATTCAATTCGAATTTAAGAATAGTTTGTTGAAAAGTGAATGTATAATATAATATAATTTACTTAATTCCGAATATTTAATGCAAAATACTTATTGAAATCAAAAGATTAATGTCCTTCTATTGTTTTCATTTCTTTTCAATTAATTATTTAGTTAATTATATGATATTAAGTTATTAAAATGAATAATAAATATAATGAAATGAAATTGAATTATAGATAAACAGTAAATTTAAATCAAATAAATGGCCAATGTTCAGTTTGAAAATTTAACAGTTTTTATCTTAACTACAAATAAAACTTATAATAACCATTTTATAACGATAATTTTGATAATATAGCGAAATATGTTCATATAAAATTAAAAACACTACTTAACTAGTTATTCATATTCCATATAGTTATGATATAATATTAGCAGTTAAATTTAAAGTTAAATGCGTTATATTAACAGCGTGTATAGATTGGTACTCAAAAAAAATTAGAATTTTAATATATTGCTTATTTGTACGTTTTTCACGCACACGTATACTATTGTATTGGATGGTGGTAAACTTGTTATTAATAGTGAATCACGTGTATGTATGTATCGCTTATGATAGATATGTATTAGATTGTTTGTATTAACTCAGGTATTAACCACGCAATTAATTAACATAAAAATAGTATAATAATTAACATTTTTAAACTTATATAAAAATTCACGGTTCCTTTATCGTTTATAAAAACAATTACAAAATATTTGTGTTTTCAACCGTAAGTAAATGCAATAGTGTTATGATATCGACGGACATTGCAAGAGCTTATATAAATATATTATAATGTTAGACGATTATATATGCGAGACGTGAGTACCACGGATTTTGGGCAAACAACAAAACGTTAAACGACGGCGTGTGAGTGGTGTAGTCAGCGGTCGTCGTCGGGGAAGAGAGGGCATACCACCGTCACGCGACATCGGTGTAATAATTTGGCGGAAGGGGCGGCTTAGGCTTTCGTGGCAATTAACCCTAAATCGCATTATACACCCACTCACCCACCCAATCTCGTTGCCACGTCCGACATGGTATATTTATATCTATATTGTATTTACATGTCAGCTCAAGTGCTGCTGTAACAAATCATCGTGTACACCGTACCAATTCCTCCCATAACTCGGTTGCAAACGAGTTGTGTCTCAAATACAGAATTGTGTCCTTAGATTTGTTTTCAGGTTACACGAGTTGTGTCTGGTGAATTTTTCGGAAATGTAAGATTTTTGTCTGGTAGATTTTCTGGGGCTTACACAAATGATGCCCGGCAAATGTTTTTTGGATACATGAGTGTCTCGATGAAAAAATATATAAGTACACAAATCTAGAAATTTGTTCATTCTTCATTACAATATGATACAAATATATTATTATTATTATTATTATACATTTAACTATACAATTAATATTTAAATAATACATTTTGTTTTGTTATGTATTGATTATTATTAATACACTAATAATAATAAATTGTATTTTCAATTTTGTAAATAATCATACATGATACATGTTGTGACTTATGGATAATATATATAACAAAAAATGTGAAATAAAAAATTGAAATGTAACGTCATATTGTAGTCATTTAAAAAATTAATAATAAGAGCATAAATTATTATGTTTTAGGTAAAAATTAAGATGAAACTGTTTTTACAAATTCAAATTTAGAAAATTTTTCATTTTTGTATACATTAAAATTTGTATTTTGAAATAAATGTTATTACGCGTCATCTTCGATAATATCATAGTATTTCTGTTTTTAATATAAATATCACATTGATAATTCTTTATGACTTCAATAAATTGAAAAATATTAGGATGACTTAAATAGGGTATTGAATTAAATTTAGAGTAATATGCTTTACAACTATTAGTTGTGCGTAATATTGAATTGGACGATTTTGCCCATACGTAAGAAAGAGATAAAGTACATTTTATGACATAGCTATCTATCTATTAAATAAGTTAAAAATTTAAGAATTTTGAAATTATTTGAAACATCACATAACATCAGGTCAAACTTTAATGTATTTATTTTATTTGGATTGAGAAATGGCAGAATTTGCATATTTTGGAAGATCGATTCTTATTTTTCGCGGATAAACTGATTTATTTAACTTTTCATCACCAACATTGATCGAGATGGAAGCGGCGCGACAGCCTTTAATTTCAATTTTTATAGAAAATTCAAGTGTAGTAATGAAATATTTACGTTATATGTTAGTATGTATGATTCGTTATTTTAATATTTAATAATCAAGATAGATGGATACAATCGTTGAAGCTCTGCTACGTGCAAGTCCGGATAAATGGAAGGGGGGGGCACGGTCACGGGGCCCATCTTTATTTTCAATATAAATATATATTTTTAATGCGTTTAAAAAAGTAAAAAAAAAATTTTTTCGTGGGTACAGTAGATAATTAATAATTATAAAATAAAAATGTTTTTAATTTGATATTACAAAAAATAATTGATAGCGTATAAGTGGTAATAATTGATATTAGGCATTTTTGATCTATTCGCATAAGGTACCCGTATATAATAAAAATAATTGTTCGACTGAAAGAGCACTTTCCAAATAAACAAGAATTAAAAATAAATATAGAACAAGCCAGACTAAGAAAAATTTAACACCATTAATGATATTATATTCAGAAAATGATATTTTGCAATTGATCGATTTTTATGAAACTATTCAACAATTTGCAAAAGAAAAACCAAGGGAAACAATTTTAATTATTATTATTTTTAACAAATACAGTGTTTATATATATTTATAATATATGAATAATATATTATTATATAACTATTAATTTATATAGCCTTATATATATTTTTTTTTGTGCTGATAAAATTATACAATAATATACAGTTTTTAAAATGTGGTGATACAATTTTTTTGAAGTTAAAGTTGAAAGGGGGCCTACTATGTTTATGATGTCCTGGGGCCCAATCGATCCTTAATCCGGGTTTGGCTACGTGCCCCTTAATATCTCCTCATGATAACACAATATTATAAAGATAGTA